CATCACAGAAAATTGAAGGCTTCTCACTTTTTCTGAATATAAGAGATGATGGCGTCCACTGGATTGGCGGGCCACCTCTGAACCTGAGCCGTGTAACCTTTGTGGTAGATCCAGAAAGCCTGTGGGTCCTGCTTGAACATACGCTTCGCCTCGCCGCTGGACGTGCTGTACAAAACTTCGTTAATGTAGCGGAAACGAGCGGCCTCCAACCGCTGCTCCATCCGGGACCTGAGGGAGGCAGAGCGGTCTTGTTTCACCTCTTCCTCTGACTCTGCTGGCTTATCTTCCTGCTCTGCAGGAGTCTCGTGGTGCTCGGTCTCCTGGCTGTGCAGCATCCTCTGCAGCTTCTGTCTTTTCAGACTCTGAGCTTTGCTCTGCTCAGGTTTCAGTCTTTTCATGGGGAACTGCTGCTGATTCACTTTAATCTCCACTGCAGGTTCACATGTTTTCTGTTCTGATCCATCAGCAGAAGATTCAGGCACACATTTCTGAACTGGGACACACTTTGTTTCTTTCTCATTACTCGCCTCCTCAGGGTGTTTCTCATTTTTCTTTTTTTGTTTGTTTTTGCCAGTGTTGCTGTTGCTATGTGAATCAGGTTTAACTACTTCCTTTAGTTCATGTTTACCCACAGACTTTACTTTATTTACTTCCTCCTCAGGCTGTTTCTGGCGATATTTATTTTTACATTTCCTCTTGTTCTTCATTTTGTTTTTCCACTGTTTTCTGCTGATCTTTTCTGTGTTCTGTGGATTGTTTACATTCACCAGCAATTCAGTCATTTCTTTATTCTTCTCCTCCCCTGAAGATGTGCCATTTGCCTTTGAAGATCCTTTTGGAAGAAAACAAAAAAACAGTTTAGTCAATATTTTACACTCAGGAAAGATTGAGGCTGGTACTACATACTATGCAAAAGTCTTCAGTGACCCCTAATTTCTCCCAAGTTTTTCTTCCAAGGAGCCAGACTTTTGCAATGATGTAGTGATCTTGAGCAATAGTTCTCCGGGCTTTCTGAAAGACTTAAGTCTTAAGTTTTTCTTTGGACATTGGCTGCTTCTTCACTCATTTCTATCCTTCCACCTGACCATTTTCAGGGCAAAGAAAGACATCTAACACAACTAATTTTGAATTGTTACTTGCAGCCTTTTGCAAGAGCATAATTTATCCCCATTTATTGAATTGAATCTACAAAGAAATGCCAAAGATAACACAGATTGACAGACATAAAATAGTATTTTTGCACCACAATGGAGAAGCATCGAGAAGGTCAGAAGGTGTTGCACTGTGTCTATTTGGCTCTAGAGAAAGCATATAGTATGGACAGAAGTATGTGAAGATCTCCAGGACATGAATGAGGACACAGAGACTGTGGTGGGGTGTGCGGTAAGAGGCACAGATAGGTTTAATGTGGTGACTGGATTACATCTGACTCCCTTTTTGTTTCCAGTGGTGAAAGATGAGTTTAGGCAGGATTCTCATGGACAATGGTGTTTTCAGATAACACTGTGATCTGTAGTGAGTGTGTGGAAGAGAGCCCGGAGAGGTGGAGGACAGAATACATGAATGAGAGGGGCACATGTGTAACAGTGAAGATGCAAGAAATAGAGGTCATGAAGGTGGACAAGTTAAAAGACCAGGGCAAGATCATCAAAAACAACAGATAACTAGCAGAGAGTGCAGGCTGGGTAGAGACAAGTGACAGAAGGACAGCCTGAAACGTGAAAGGGAAATTTTTTAAGATGGTAGTGAGACCTGCTGTGATGTAGAGTTTTAAGACAAAAACATAAGAGGCATACCTGGATGTGGCAGAGTTGAAGATGCTAAGATTTTCACTGGGAGTGAAAAAGTTAGACAGGATTAGATATGAGCATGCTGAGCAGTTTAGAGATAGGGTTAGAGAGGCAAGGCAAGGCTGAGATGGTTTGGACATGTGCAGAGGAGGGATGCTGGACATATTGGACAAATGATGCTGAAGATGGAACTCCCAGGCAGGAGAAAAAGAGGAAGAATTCAGAGGACATGCAGAGGGTTGGTTGACAGTGGAAGATGCTAGGGACAGGGTGAGATGGAAACAAATGGCCTGCAGTGGCGACCTCTAAATAGATGAACTCATTTCTCATTTTCTTAAAAAAATACAAAGAAATGAGATGTGATTCAAGACTTTGCACAATACTGTACATCCAAACACTCCAATTACAGATGCCGGATTAAAAACTCTAAAGTGGCAAACCACCGTGTCAGATTTCTAAGCTTATAACCAGCTAATTACTCACCAGCTTTATTGTTTTTCTTCCTCTTTTTTGGTGCAGGTTTCTCCTCCTTTAAGATCTGGTCTGTGTTCTCTTGCTGCTCCTCTGTTTTTTCTGCAAGTTTTCTCTTTTTTCTTCTCTTCTTCTTTGTCCTAATGTTTGATGGAGCTTCTTCGGAGTCTTCATCACTGTCCTGTTTATGGTTGTCGCTCTTCCACTCTGGTACTGACCCCAGAGTCTTCAGTGTCCGCATCAGGCTGCTTTTACCCACAACCCTGGGCTGATCAGAGGATCACAGCAGGTTGAATAATATATTTTTAAAACGAGTAGCGACTACCATAAGTAGAAACATAGTAATGCTTTGCGAGAATAAAAAGTTTTCCGTAAGCGCAAAAGAAACACGTACCTTCACATTGATGCCATTGCTTGTCTTCTTGGTGTTACTGAGGGCAGGTTTACTCAAGATCTGACCCTCTTCTTCATCATTCCAGTCTTCATCCTCGTTAAACATGTTTCTGTGTGTCCTTTTAGAAAAACGCACACCTTTGTAAACCACTACTGGAGATGAAAAACTCTTTCGAGCGCACTTCTTTGCTATCAGAGAGTTAACCTATAGTCCTATATGATGTCTGAACTACTCACGAGTTTGTTTCTCAGGCAGCAAAACGAGTTGATTTACGTGTCAGAGGAACTCTTCCCGCTGTTTGCATGAAACCTTTTTATCTAATGAACGTGTAACTACACGTAATACCTAAAAGAAATAAAGTTATTCTCAAGCAAAAGCCACGTTGGTTCAGTGTCATGCGCGTCAGGGGAGCAAAACAGAGTTACGGGCGCACATAACTGACGTAAGCACACTGGAGATATCTGGGAAATGGCGTTTTCCGTGATGACGTGGATAAACATTCAGCTTCTCTTAATTTTAAGGATTTTAAGTTGTATTATTAAAAACAACTTAAAAATAGTTAAAATAAAAATGCAACTCTTCAGTGGCTCCAACGATTTTCAAGAAAATATAGTTTTACAAAGATTTCTCTCACCAAACATGTCTCTGAATAATCAAAATTAACAGTGTTTTTGTTAGGATCTTATAGATATTTGTAAGATCCAATCTAAACAACAATAAACAGACGGACTGACTTAAGTAAACCTACATATCAAATACACAATATATTTGTTGCATAATTGTTATATTCTGTAATTAGGGACACGCAAAAGGACACATTGGGTTTAATAAATAAAATTAAAAAAACATTTTTCCTTTTTACTTGAAATTTGAAACTTACTTTACTTGAAATTATTTGTTTACTTAAAACTAGTAAATTAGACGGAGGGAATGATTCCCAGACCACTGAGGCCATATGTATGTTCTTAATCACCTGTAATAAAAAAAAACTTTCTTAAACATCATATTACATACCATGCAATATGACAAGAAATGTTGTGTTTAAGGATGGATTTTCCCCTTTACAGACCCCAAAATGTGTCTGTAACATGTCTTTGTGCTTATGATTAGAGACAGAAGAATGGAGAATTTAAACTTAATCTGCAGACACTACAAACAACAGACAGTTTTATTTACATGTTTACCGCTTCAGTGGACCCACTAGGAAAGCTCCTTCCATTACATTGTTCATTTGTTTGCTTTTAAATGAAATAAGTAGAAAGCCCTGTGTCACTTCAGAAGGAAGATATGACAATTTAAACTGACCCTCTGTAAAACTCAGATCCTTTACAAGGTTCAAAACGGTGCGTATGTGTGTGTGTGTCCTTCATGAAGGCCTACCTGGAGGAGATTAGGAACCTGGAGACCTGGTGCCAGGAGAACAACCTCCTCCTAAATGTCAGCAAGACTAAGGAGCTGATCGTGGACTTCACTAAAAAGCAGGTGAGGAATTATGAGCCCCTGATCATCAATGGCATGCCAGCAGAGAGAGTGGACAGTTTCCGGTACCTGGATGTCCACATCACTCAGGACCTGTCATGGTCCTGCCACATTAGAACCCTGGTTAAGAAAACCCGACAGTGTCTCTTCTTCCTCAGAAGGCTTAGAGATTTCCATCTGCCACTGAGGGTGCTCAAGAACTTTTATTCCTGCACCATCGAGAGCGTCCTGAAGGGAAACTGCACCTGGTTTGGTAACAGCACCAAGCAGGACAGACAAGATCTGCAAAGAGTGGTGCACTCGGCCGAACGTATCATTCGATCAGAGCTTCCTGACCTGCTGTTCATCTAAACCAAGCGGTGCAAGACTAAAGCCAGGAAGATTATGATGGACCTTTCCCATCCCAACAATGGACTCTTCCCACTGTTGAGGTCTGGGAAGCGCTTCCGCTCCCTTAAGTGTGTGACAAATAAAATTTGAATTTGATTTGAATTCAATATATGCTCTAGTTGGAGGTCTGACATCAGCTGTCTGAGTCTGTAGTGTGTAACATTAGGTCTCAGAGCAACATGTTATAGACTACATGTAGTGACATGGTGGCATTTAATGTAATAAGATAAGATAAGATAAGATAACCTTTATTAGTCCCACACGTGGGAAATTTGTTTTGTCACAGCAGGAAGTGGACAGTGCAAAAGTTATGAGGCAAAAATTAGAATACAATCCTGAGCTGAGCTTCGTATTTTAGATTTTTGTACACATAAAATGTAATTATTTCAAGAAAAAAAATCATGACCTCAGGGGGTGAATTTGAAATCGTTGCAATTCTCCTTGCAACCTATAGGCGGCTCTCTCTCTCTCTTCTTCCTCCACGTACGTACGGGTGTGGACGCACAGCTCTCTGAATGCTGAAGGTAACACAGCAAGGCTTGTAACTTTTCCTCTGTACAGCTACAATACACCGCAACAAGCTAATATATCCGGTAAGTTTAAAGGCATGGAGGTAAATAATTTTTTTTAATTTGACCTGTTTAAACTATTAAATGATGGTTCGAGTGAAATCCTCAGTCGGTCACCGTTAAATGAGAGAAACACGGACAGCCCCCGCGGCAGGATAGATAGTTAGCTTGTTAGCACAGACCCAATTGGATTTTATTTCACGACGTAGAGGATGCAAGTTTATAGTGAGGAGCTAACCGAGATATATATCTTCCATATGGTGGAGTAAAAGCAGTCGGTGGTGCTGCCACGAGTAGAAGAACTAGGCGGCTGACTTAAGTGAGCTTTCCCCTCACTGTGTTAGCCGGATAGCAAAGCAGCTAGTCAGGCAGTGACAACATTGTTGGGAGTGTAAATGGTATAAACTGCGTGGATCAATGGCGCGTGAAACTTAGGTTGTGACCATACTGAAAAAAAATAATAATAATATTGTATTATCATATTATACCGTCCCACTTATTGGCTAATACCACTCTCACAATCAATTAGAGCTGCAAAACCAATACGAAGATAATAAAAAATCAACCACTTTCTTTCTACAAAGAAGAGCAGCAAATCCAGACTGTAAACTTGATAGGGCCATGAAGTGATTGATTTATTATCAATATATTAGTATAATCAGTATAATATATTAGTCTGTTGCCGGTGTATTAAAGGAATACAGACTTCAGTTTGACTCTGGATGATTATATTTATCTATTCTGGTGTCCATGGTGTCCAGGGCTATTTTTTCATACAGCTACATTTTGTGAGTCACTGTGTTGTAAACGGCATACCCACCCTGTATTACTCAGTTGGAGATTACTCAACACTAGGTTGTCTTGTCTGTAGGCTTTCTCCTTTTTAGGTTTGTACAGCAGTTTGTTTGTTTTTTGTTTTTTTAAGAAATAATTTTAACTGAGTGACCATTTTTCTTTAAATCAATTTCTTTAGGGTCGTGTTGGTGCTGCTCTGATTGTGGTTCATGCTGTCCCAAATGAGGGACTGATGCTGGCCAGGACGTGCCTGAACCCATCGGGTTGCAACTCTTGTCTGTCCCAGTTTAGTTCTGCATCTGCTCCCACGGGTGCATCCTAGAAGAAAAACAATACACCAGCCAAAATGGATGATATATTCACTCAGTGCCGGGAAGGCAATGCAGTGGCAGTTCGTTTATGGCTGGACAACACAGAGAATGATCTCAATCAAGGGTGAGCTGCAGTTTTTTTCATAGCCAGAATTTATCAGTCACTTCTGTCCATATTATTTCAAATGAAAGTTGGATACTGGAATCCTAATTAAGAATTTCATTTATGTCCCCAAGCAGCTGTGCCTGCTTGCTTGTGACTTGCTAAAACATGAATTTGTGATTCCAAATAGCGTGGCTCAAAATTTCAAATGTGATCTTGTGTTTTATTTAAAATGTTTTATTCTTAAAGTTCTTCTCTGGCGCAGTCTGAAAGCCCGCCTTTTCAATCCCCTGTGAGATTGTGGACTGCCGTTGAACCCATTTCCTTGTGTGCGCATGTTTATGTTTAGAATGCCAGCACAGTAAATCAAAAGCATGATGTTGGACAGGAAGCATGCTGTGATGGTATAGTTAGTCACAGCAATTTAAATCAGGCTCTGCATGCTCTGGATACAACTTGGTTTTGGATGGATTTGGATGCAGAAAATATTGTACTTTACTTCTGACATGACACATTTAGTACACAGCATTTTTTGTCTAATAGTTCCAGATTAAGAGTCCTGAGCTGCTGTTTTTATCCTAAGCTGGCTACATTGGGAAAAACTTGGCAGTCCAGTCTGGATGGCCACCCACGAATCTTGTCTTTTTAGAGAGCTCTGTTTAAGATTTAGACTACCGGTGTTTGTGTTCAAAGCAAACAAAGAAATAATAAATGAGTCAATTTAATTATGTTCCTTGTGTAAGTGGTAGCTGTTCTCTTTCCTTCTCCATTTCTCTCTGTTTTAGTGGACTTGTGGTAGGTTTTTTTTTTTACTGACAGTTATTCATTTGCAAATGACATAGTTGTCAAGCTTTCATTATGTTGCTAGTACTATGAAAACGAAAGAGCTTTTTTTGGATTAGTGGTCATCCTCTTTTTTTTGACATGAGCGTTTCATGTTTGTAACCAAGAAAACATTTGTTAACTGACAGAAAAGATAACTGGTAACATCAGAGGCACAGGGATGTTTCAAGAAATATTTTAATGTTGTTAAAATTGCTATTTGGTCAGCATCTTTTTTTTTTCTTATTTGGGACGTGTTTGCTCTAAATATAAAAGAGGAACTTGAGAATATACATCATAACTTGAAAATATAGCTGTATTCTAAAAATAGATGCAAACAAGATATGTCTGTCTATACATACACTTTATTCAGAAAGTTATATTTTCTTCATTTTCTTTGGCTTCCTGTTTGCTTTGTTTTTTCCACTTCTTGTGAGTCTATCTGATTGCATTGAGCCAGTGTGGATTCATGCATGCGACTCGCCCATTAGTTGATTACACGTCTAGTTCCCTTTTCCGGCTGATGTGTGTCCTCCAGTGTATAAGACACTACAGAGCCTCAAGCCTTCCTTTTCTGTGTTTTAGTAAACTCACTGTGCTCTTGCCTGACAGAACCCTCCCTGAGATATTTTCTATGCTCTACAATGACGATGTGTTTACACTGATGTAACTCCCACATGAACAGTAGTAGTGGAATGCAGAATCTCCTTACAAGGAGCAACACATGGGCCTCAAGGGAAGCTTTTACCACCTACCAGAACTGAGGGCTAAGGGGAGGAGTTTATTATTGTGGGCAGGGCTGAAAAGACAGACAGAAAATCTTTGTGTATGTGGGGCTGTATAGTGAATTTTTCAAAAGAGGAATGCATAGTTAAGCCATAGCAGCCCACATCACCTTCCCCCTTCTCTACTGATATGTTTCCTGTATGTCTCCCTGTGGTATTAGATAGCTCCACTCATTTCCCCTTACTGCTGCTGCCAAGTTTAGAAGACTCTAATTGCAAAGTTTAAAACATATTCTCCTAAATATTTATAATGTGGTCATCATGTTCTGATGTTGTCTCTGAGTATTTTTTACAGTACCATTTTACTGGTTGGTGGATCATTATTATTAACACAAAATGCAGGTGTTTATTATTAAAGACCTACATGGCCTTGTGTGAAAAAGTAAATTCCCTGTAAACCTAATAACTGGTTGGGCCAGCCTGAGCATCAACAACTGCGATAACTTTGCGATAACTGGTAATGAGTCTTTCACAGTACTGTGGAGGAAATCTGACCTCCTCGTCTTTTCAGAACCACCTTTTTAAGCTCAGCTCTCCAAAAAAAGGGGGGTTAATCACAGCTAATTCAAGATTTAACAAGAGGGGCAATTACTTTTTCACACAGAACCAGGTAGGTTTGAATAACTTTGCTCCCTTAATCAATGAAATCATCATTTGAAAACTGCATTTTGTATTTAATTGGGTTCTCTGTGTCTAATATTAAAATTTGTTTGATAATCTGAAACATGTAAGTGTGACAAATATGAAAAACACTAGGAAAACAGGAAGGAGGCAAAGACTTTTTCACATGTGTGTTTTCTCCCTATTCCCTATTCTCCCTAAATCCATAGTGTCTTCAACTTCTGGGAAAGCTTGAAGTCAGACCGTTGACAGATTAAGTGATAGTACTATAATAATATTTAGTTTTGCTCTTTGGTTTGACTCCTAGTAAGGTATCTGTACCATGTCCAAGCATTTTTTACCTCTAACATAGAGCTCCATTGACCAGTATGACTGCTGTGGTTGATTGATGGTGGGTAATTGGAAACACAGTGGTCTAAATTCTTGTTCAAATGGGTAGTAATGGATTCAGAACAAGCAGTGCTAAGCATTGACAGAGATCATAAGGTTTGATTCAGGTCTTATGTTATTGGGTTATTATTATAATTACTATTATTATTATTTCCATCTAAAAAAAGAGGGGCTGCTATCTGCTGCAACTGGTTGTTAGGTTAACAGGAAGACGAAAAGAAAAAAGGAGCATAGAAATCCAAGAACAAAACAGACTGTGGGAGTGAGTGGAAAGAAGTTAATGACAGTAAACAGCTGTATGTCAGTTCAACAGGAGGGAAAATAGGATTGTGGAGAAGAAACGCTCTGTGCATCATGGAACGTCCTCCAGCAGCCCAAGTATATAGCAGTATAATTAAGGGAGTGTTCAGAGGCACCTGATCTAGCCTTAACTGTAAGCTTCATCAAAACAGATTTTTTTAGTTTAATTTTAAAAGTAGAGATGATGTCTGGCTCCTGAACCCAAACTGGAGGCTGGTTCTGCAGAAGAGCAGCCTCATAGCTGAAGGCTCAAAACCTGCAGTCTGGGAGCAAAGTGCTCTGTTGGGTCTCTTAGTGTTACAATTAACCTGATCATGTTAAATCCGTGCTTTTTAGATATTTCAGTGGATCTGTTTTTCTTTAGCCGAGGCTTGTTATATGAGCCAGTGGGGATGTCAGTGCAGACATACAAGGTGCAGACAGGGACGCTTCCTCTGGCTCTTCAGTCTGCCCGGATGAGTTCTGCTGGCAGGTGAAAGTGCCTGAAATAAATTACTGCAGTCAGTGAGGAGGGAGTGAGCAAGAGGAAACCCTGGCACTCAAGTCCTCATGGGTTTGTGGGATGAAGGTAGCTTAAAGGGAAAATCCATCCTGTAACAAAAATACACACAGAGACCAGAGTGTTGAGGCTTACTTGATGTAACCACAGTACATTTTCAGCATTTATATCTGGACCTGAGCTATTATTGTGTACTTTTTTAGAATAAAATTGTTTTATATAAATATTTGAATAAAAATGAGTTAACTGAACTTAGATTTTTCAAGATATTATATCTTGAAAAATAAAGGGAAATAACTTCATCTAAAATCTTCATTTTGTTAAAATGTTTTGCACAAGTCATATTTGAACAAGTTGTGCATCAACTCAGGAAAATCTAAAAGAAAATCACACTGTCAAAAGCTATAGGGAATTATTATTATTTTTCTTATTTAAAGCCACAACTCAAAGTTGTTCAGTGACATAAAACTGAAAAAAGCAGCACATTTTATCATTGGAGAAGCTTTTGATTTGTAAGAGAATTCAAATGTAAAACTCTCAGGACAGATGAGGAGTAATATGTTTTAAAGCTAATCCATCCATGGCAGCTGTTGTTAAACAGAACATTTAAGCCCATACAGAGCACAATTTTGCTTATTTTGTAATTTCTTGATTTTACAGAAGATGTATATGAACCTTGATGCTCCACTTCCTCCCCCAAACAGACTTGCTTGGCACTGAAAGCTAATCAGTCAGATTAGAAAAGTGTGTGGGTAGTTTTTCTCTCCTAAACTGAAGCTAATTAGTTTTCAGGATTTGGCCTTTTGGTCTGAGAGGAAATTGCTCTCTGAGTTGATCCACAGCAGGTCACACAGTTAGATGTGTGTTGTGGGACTGAGGGTCTCTGTTGGACTCTTGATGCTGTTTTGTGTGAATACAAGCCAGTGAATTGAGTGCTGGGGCAGACGGTTCAAATTCCTGCAGAATCATAATACTCCCTCAGTTCTCAGATCTTATTATTATGCTGTCTGTCTACTTATAATTTCGGAAGAAGTGAAAAAGATATTAAAAAGAGCACTGTGCTCATGGAAAGTAAAATCCATCATAGTAGTCCAGATGATCTGGTAGAAGTGAGTGGAGTGATGAGACAGAGTCATACTCGCGGCTCACTGAGCCTTTTAAGGACTTCAGCGCTGCTGTTTTTTTTTTTGTCCAGTCTTTTTCGTGATCGATTCTGTCACTGCGCTCTTCCTGTGTCTTAATCTCTGTGTTACTGTGTTTCACAGTGAAGACACTCCATCAGTGTGTCTGTCATATAATCGAGGCCACTGTGCGACATGTGGCGTTGCTGCTGTCACCGAGACAGGAATGATGAGTGCCAGAGGCTTATTAGCTTTTGTCACTGAGTCGCACGAGCTTCCTTTTTTACAGAGGCAGAAAATGACTGTAAAAATGAATAAACTTATCATGCGTACATAACTCAGCTTCACATCATTGGCATAACAGATTATTGGGAACAAATATAATAAGTATTTTTGCAGTAAATTCAGGCTTTGTGAAGGATTAATCATTCATTTTTTTTCATAGAACTCACTCATAGCATTGCTTTGGAGCTGTGTTATCTACATTAAAGCAACAGTTGTGTAAATGTATTTTATTAGATTTTTTAGCTCAGTTTTCTCATTGCACTGGTAATTAAGCATGAACTGAGGCACTGGTAATCTCACTTAACATGTATATCTTTACATTGAGGATCTGGGTTTTTCTTTTTTTTTTTATGAAGTTTTCTTGTTAAACCAAAAACCCATTTCCCAAAACAACTGTAGTTTTTACCATTTATACCACAGAGGTGTTTGTGTGGAAAATTGCTGATGTTTTGTCCCTCAGGTTATGCTAAGCAGGTTTTTGTATAAAAACACGTGCTCAGCTTGTATTGCTTCTGCCCCTGTAGAGATGACCATGGCTTCAGCCCTCTCCACTGGGCTTGCAGAGAGGGTCGCTCCAATGTGGTGGACATGCTCATCATGCGAGGAGCGCGCATTAATGTCATGAACCGGGGAGACGACACACCCCTGCACCTGGCTGCCAGCCATGGACATCGCGACATTGTGGGAAAGGTAGAGTTCTTGTAAACACTGGAGCACAGTAACTCTGTCTAGAGTCTCTTGGATGAATTCCACTGTGGCTATAACATAAAATGTATCATAAACGTGTCATGGATTGTGTATAAAAGACAGACATCACCCATTAGTTTATGGACTCACCCTTGGCTTTCTGGCTACTGCCGCTTTCTTTATGTATGGAGTGATAGTAGTGCTTGGTGAGCAAGCTGCATTCATAGATTGAATGGACGTAACAATAGGCGGTATAAAAGATGGATGCAACTGTTGTGCCCTCATCACCCACTGGTTTCTGGCTTCCTGTTTTGAAGCCATGAGCTGACTGTTTCTGTTGTTGCTGTCTTGGTTGCAAAAAAACCCCAGATATGATGAGGCTGGGCAGACCGGACTCTACTGAAACTACATGCTAATTGGTTAATGAATCATGATTGACAAGTCATTTGCCGTTGAGCGTGCAGTTTTATACCACAGATAATCCTCTATGTTGAAACATAATATGACTGAGATTTCCAAATTAGACTCTTTTTTTTTTTAATTCAGTATGGCCCAAACTGAGTGACTGAGACCATAAACTTAGCAGGAAAATGTTTGCAGAGGTGAAGATGGAAAGTCATTTTCCCACAGACTTCTATAGGATCATAAGCCATCTGGCAGCTTTCACATAGATTACAGGTTTAAGGCATTGGCTTTCTTTTTCTGACTCAAAAGCAATATCTGTGTTTAATACTGTCTATAGGTCTGTTTAAGAGTGGTAATTAACAGATTATTAAATACTAGAACTGTAGCCAGCATAAACTTCAGGCTCATTATGTATCAGCAATACAAACATGGTCAAGAGGACCAGACTAGAGTTTGCAGAAGTGAAGCCTAGCAGATAACTTCTGGATACAGTTGTCTGTGTCTGCACATCTGTGTAGCAAAGCAGTCACGCACCTAACTTTAAGCCTTATTCTCTATATGAGCTGATTATATATAAAAGAACAAAACAAAAATATCATCCCTGCAGTTGTTAGTTTGAAATGAGCAGTGGGGATCAAAATGGTTTTCTATACAAATTGGTTGTGTTATCGGTTGGAGACGGAGCAGTGAGAGCGAGCAAATGCAAGATCTTAATATACAAGTTTCAAAATGATGCTCTCCCTGCAGGTTTGGTTCATTAGCACAGGATATTGTGAAAGCTAAAATGATATCATCTGAACAGCTGAAACATGTCTTGTCTGTTCTTGTACTTGCACCTTTTGTAACAGACAAAACCGAAGCATGAATATAAAATGTGCTTACTGCTACATATAAATGCACAGACAAAATTGGAGCTGCAAAGCAAACGGCAGGGACTTCAATGCAGCATATTAAACCTGCAGTGTTTTTCTTTATAGGAAACACAGCTGGGTTTTCAAAGTGCAGCAAACACATTGTGGCAGTAAGTGTATTTGCTGTAAGTTGTTGATGTTTGTCCATAAAAGAAAGAAAGGTATTTTCTATTATCCTGTACACAGTCCTGTTGATATAATGGGGGGCTTCTGCTCCACGATGTCGATTTTAAAATGGCTGTAAAGCAGCTACTGAGTTTAATATTAGACACGTCTCAATACCTCTGGTATGTGTCTACAGGCAAAACAACTGTGCATGATTTTTCTTGGCAGCATTGGGATCATCTCTGTGTACAGCCTAAACAAGATCTGACCAGCCTTTCTCTGCATGTAATCCGTTGTTTTTCCTTCTTTTAGCTGATCCAGTGCAAAGCAGACACCAATGCCGTCAATGAACACGGGAACACACCACTGCATTATGCTTGCTTCTGGGGACAAGACCAAGTAGCTGAGGTTAGTGTGCCCCCTGGTGGCGATGAAGCTAAAAACCTGTGTGTTTTAAAGTATTTTTAAAGTGTTGATAACGTTTGTTTTTTCTCAGGACCTTGTGACTAATGGAGCTCTAGTGAGCATCTGTAACAAGTATGGGGAAACTCCATTGGACAAAGGGAAACCTCACCTCCGTGAACTCCTCAGAGGTATGCCTGTGGTTTGACTGTTTGGTTTAAAAAAAAAAAAAAAATGTCAGCGTCAGTCATACATCTTTCAGCTTTGTTGCTCTGTACTGACTTTCTCATTTTACTATCAATACAGAAAAGGCTGAGAAAATGGGACAGAACTTGACTAAAATTCCCTTCAAGGACAGTTTCTGGAAAGGCACCACCAGAACCCGTCCCCGTGAGTCCCAGCAACCCAAAAACCAATTTATTAGCTGACCACTTTCCACCCACAGTTTTGCACAGAGTGCTGCATGAAATGGAAAAATGTTCTGTGCTAGTCTCCAGATTAATCTTAACGTGGCTTTTGAAATTTCCACAGATTTTTCAGATTTCATATAAATAATGAGCTTTTTGTCTGAGCTTTAACTCACGTCCTGAGTTATGTCTCTGTCTTGTGTTTTTAGGCAATGGAACATTGAATAAACAGGCAGGCATTGACTACAGACAGCTTTCTCTAGCCCATAAAGTAAACGAGAACCAGTCTGGAGAGGTAATTTCTTCTTGTGTTTCATTGTGCTCAATGTTAATGCAGAGCTGCTAATGATGAATTAAAGATTCACTTTTTTTGTTTCTCTTCTATAGCTCTGGCAAGGGCGCTGGCAGGGAAATGAAATTGCCATTAAACTGCTAAAAGTTCGTGACTGGACCACTAGGAAAGGCAGAGACTTCAATGAGGAGTATCCCAAACTCAGGTTCTTATATAATCCTGACTTTTTTCTACAGACTCTTTCGTTTTTTGCCTTCACAGTCACTCATTTGTCTGTTTGCACTGTCTTGAGCCAAATTCTGTGTATAATTTTATTTCGTGGGGAGGTGCATCTCATACTTTTTATGTCAAATCCGTTGTGGATTTGCCTGTTTTTGTCTGTCTGTCTCCCCTGTCCTTCCCTCTTGGGCTGAATCCCAGGATATTTTCCCATCCGAATGTCCTACCCATGTTGGGAGCATGTCAGTCTCCTCCCGCCCCTCACCCCATCATCATCGCACACTGGATGCCTTATGGCTCCCTCTACAACGTGCTGCATGAAGGCACCAGTGAGTACCTCTACTCTGGTCACAGGCCAGTTTGGGTGATTTGTAGGGATTTGTGATTTATTAGAGTTAAGTATTTGTTTTGGTCATTAAGTTGTCATCACTTTTTCTACAGTAGTGATTTCACTGTCATCCAGTAATGTAGTGAAAGACATGGCTTAAACCTGTTATTACTTGTTCTTCATCATGCTGTCAGATTTTGTGGTGGATCAGACACAGGCGGTCAAGTTTGCCCTTGACATTGCTAATGGAATGGCGTTCCTACACACACTTGAACCCATGATCCCTCGCCATTACCTCAACAGCAAGAGTGTAATGGTAAGAAGAAGAAAACTATGAATAAGAGATGTGTGGTACAGTTTTTTGAGGCGTCTAAGTCAACTCTGTTTTCCGTTTTCACAGATAGATGAGGACATGACGGCAAGGATCAGCATGGCAGACGTCAAGTTTTCCTTCCAGTGTCCTGGCAGGATGTACTCGCCAGCATGGGTAGCCCCTGAGGGTAGGCATCAGTCATACAGCACAGATCCAAAGTGACAGCTGAAGCCACACAAGCTTGCACTTGAATGATGGATGCAGGAAACTCTAGACTGTCTCTGAGCCAAATGTAATTTGCAGCTGATTTCCCCAGGAGATAGATTGAAATCAAAGTTAGCTCGAAACGTAAACTGATTACAAAATGTGAAAATAACCAGGGAACATTTGCAACAGAGAAGCAAACAGAAACAGCGTGTGGGGGATGGGATGAAGGGGATTTATCACCACCAGTTACATAGAAACAACATGTATGTATGCTGTGATATGCAAGGGAGTGTTTCTTGTGTTTAAAACAAATTCACATAGTTGGCATGGTAACAGATTTTAATAATATGCCTTATATTCAAGAATTGTTTGTAATATGTAATAATAGAAATGCACTACTGCTTCGAATTTTCCTTATACTAGCAAGTTTGCTTATTGTATCATTTTGTAGAAGAATTGCAACAATATGTTTCTACTGCTTTTGCAACATGATGATATTTACATTTCAGTCATTTCTAAAGGATTATGGAATTTGGTTTGATGGCTGGTTGGTAATTGGTTTTAAACAGGCTGTTTAATCTTCAAAGAAACATGGCCACTTACAGAGGCATGAGTTTAGTTAGATTTTACTTTAGCCTGGAATCCAAGCTGATGTACATGTACTAACCTTACAGTAAGACTAAACAGATGGCACAACACACTGTTGTTAAAGTAAATGTATTTAATCTGACATTAGGTTTGTGCTGTGCTTTGTATCTGTAACCTGCTACCTTCCTTTGTGAAATCAGCTGCTCAAATGTCTTCAGTTTCTCTTCATCTACAAGATTTGGTTTCCATAGCAACATATACTATACGATGCTAGATCACAGGCAAAAAGCCCACAGAGCTCCATGTTGTTCAAGCTTTTTTTTTAAGATAAATACTGAACTGTCGTGCAAAATGCATTCCTTAGGATTCCCCACTTTATACTGTATATATTTCTGCTTGTCTGCTGCTGTTTGCAGGCAGACACTAGTTTGCAAGAATGGAAACAGAAATTGCCTCAATTTTGTTTTATAATGCAGGGTTTTTTTTGGATGCTATTTGCTGCAGATTAGTAGACCATTGACTACTATATTTTGTACCTGAGTTCTGCAGACTCATTGACAATACACCGCAAGTGACACAAGGTGGTGATTTTGATCAGCTATTCATGATGTTATCAAATTAGGCACATCCTAAGGAAGGAACAGCCTCACTCGTTGCAATAACTTTTCATTTCTCCACAGTAGTCTGAGGATGTGGCATGTCGTTATGTTACTCTATAACCTTCTTTATTTTTCTTGGCATTGCTCAGCCCTTCAGAAGAAGCCAGAAGAGATCAACCGCCGGTCAGCAGACATGTGGAGCTTTGCTATCCTGTTGTGGGAGTTGGTAACCAGAGAAGTGCCATTTGCTGACCTGTCCAACATGGAGATAGGCATGAAGGTTAGCAGCACTGTTGCTTATTAGATTAACAAATGGATATCAGCAGCTTGCAGACAGACCTCACAGTTATTACCTGTTAGTTTAATGGATTTAAGGTGTCTGTATGTTCTGGTTTATAGGTTTCTTTGGAGGGGTTGAGGCCCACTATCCCCCCTGGCATCTCTCCCCACATTTGCAAGCTCATGAAGATATGCATGAACGAAGATCCAGCAAAGAGGCCTAAATTTGACATGATTGTGCCAATTCTGGAAAAAATGCAGGACAAGTGATAAACATCTTCTGACCTTCTTTACCTAACTGATGAACAACAGGATATCTTAACCCAGATTTGACTCTGAGATGTTGGTGTGGTGCTTACCAATATTGCCTTAAAGTCTCATTCTCACACTCCGCTGTTTTCAACACCACTGTACCTTCTGCTTGTGAGATGAATTCAGCAGAAATCACTCCTTTTTATATTCTGTTTTTTTTCCTCTTCTGTTAAAATGATATCAAAGTTTTGTTACTGATCTGCTGACACTGTCTGCAGAAGCATAGTATTTACTGTTCACTGTATAAACTGCAATCATATTGAACTGAGTAAAATCTCAAGTGACAAAATAACCCGTGGAGGTCAGCATGACATTCTGTTGAATTCCTTCAGTGGTGGGCCTGCCATGCTGATCCTCGCTGTATTAAAAAGTCTCCCTCTAAGGTGACTGCTCCTTTTGCAATGATGGCCCATAACAAATGGATAACATATTAACCAAAAGCTTGTGGGGATATGTTGTATTAATATCATCAAATGTTTGAAGCTGAACATTTAAACGTATTAGATAATAAAACAATATGAATGAGCAGTGCCCTTGAGCGCATGTACAAAAAGCAGCGTTGTGCCTTTTAGCTGGGCTGCATAGTGGTAATGATGAGCTTGGCCTTTTCGTGGACCGACTATATCTTGTGCAACCTCACAATGATTTAAAACTGGCCATAAAAGCTTGGAGTTTTTGGGAAAAATTCACCCAGAATGGAATGGAATTCTTGGTAATTGTGTTAATGTAATCGGCATTACTTAGTTGCTTAATCTTTCAGTAATTATTTTTCCCCCTGATACATTATTTGAATCCTGTTTGCTCTACTGTTGAACAAAAACGTCAGTCAGCCTGTGCCATCATGTATGAAAGAAATGATGAAATATGAAAAATGTTCACAAAGAAATGATGTCAGCTCAATGCTGACATCATTTCTTTGTGAACCAACATGAAAGCTGCACCCTATTATGTAATTTATTAAAGCATAAGATAGATGCAGTCAAAATTAGGTGTTGTCAGGGACACTTCACCCAGTTCTTTGGTTTTCATCAAGGGTTTGACTTAACATGTGTTTGTGTTCTCTCGTTTATTATTTGATCCACTGGATTACTTCTTGCTTTATATCCCACTCAAGGTTTTTTTTGTCTTTTCTGTGCCTCCACCAGCTTGCTTGTTTGTGCTGAAGCCAAAATCAAGAATGACATATGCAAATGTATGTATTTATATATAAGTATATTAAAAAATAAAACATGTGGACAACTTGAATGTGTGTGTTTTCTGGAGGGAACTGGACATGACAGGATTGTTGTGGGAAATGCATAAAGATTGCAGATCTCTTCAAGAGAGGCGACATAAGTGTCATTGTATTGACATTTAAACGTAACATTTATCTTATGAGGAACAGGGCTTTCTGAGCTTTCTGTAGTATTGAGTCTCATTATCTCAGTCAGTGTTGACATACAAATTTGATCAGAAATGTAAAACATGATTGAGTAGTATGAGACAATAATAGAGTTATGGGTTTATCACTATTTTAGAAAGCATACTTTCCCAATATCGGACATACTCTCCAGGTTAACTGCTTGCTAATGCATATATCTGCTATCATCCAGTGCATTTAGGCATATGAACATGTTGCTTAGATAAACCTGAGCATCAGAATGCAGGAGAAAAATGATTTAAGTCGCTTTGAATTTGGTGTAGTTGTGCATGGTCTGGAAAAAAAAGAGCAGCAGTTCTCTGGGCAAGAATGCCTTGTTGATGAGGTCAGACGACAATGGCTTGGAGCTGATAGGGAGGCAGTAGTAACTGAAATAACCATTCACTGCAAGATGTGCAGAAGAGGGTTTGTGATTGCACAGCAAACCTTGAAGTAGATGGGCTAAAGCAGCAGAAGATCGTATCTGGTGCCACTATTGTCAGCTAAGAACAAGCAACGGGGGGTTTGGGCTAACCAAAATTAGACAATAACAGTTCTGATGAGTCTTGATTTCTGTTGCAATATTCAAGCCAATTACTACCTGTCTGAGTCTTGTTACTGACCATGTTCATCCCTTTATCACCGCAGTGCATCTAGCAGGATAGAACGTCATGTTACAAACGCTCAAACTGGTTTCTTGAATGCAACAATGAGTTCTCAAAATGTCCTCCACAGTCACCAGATGTCAGTGGAAAAGAGCACCTTTTGAATGTGGTGGAAGGAGATTTGCATCATGGATGTGCAACTGACAAACCTGCAACAAGTGTGTGATGTCAGTGTGGACCAAAATCACTGAGAAATGTTTTCAGTACTTTCTTCATTTAAGGGCAGTTTTTCTTCCAAACGTGTCCAGTGACATGTAGCAGTACATTATTAGTTTCAATGATATAAGTGGAGTTGAGGCACCGAAATACAATTGACTTTTTTTTTTTAAATATATGTTTCAAGCTTTTACTACTGCTACTACTCAGCAAAGTATTTTATAGTGTTGCATTAGTACTTTTTTGGCCAAAGACGTTAGTATAGATAAAAGCTGGGCTTATTAAAAAGTGGTCCGCTAATATGAATATGAACATTTAACGCATTAGGGATCAACCCATATAATGCAGAGACAACAAAAATGTAAAAGGCCCCAAGAATCAACACACACAGATGCAACCCCCCCCCCCAAAAAAAAAAACCCTCTTCTTTTTTTTGTATTTTTCCACCTTTTTGGAACCCTTCCGTCTCCTTGTGGTGCGATTTTGCAGCTCTTTATTGATTCTTTTTATTGCGCCTAACATTGGTCATTTTTAGTAATTTCAGGTGTTTTGTGGTCACTTTTGCATCTCTCTGTGGTTGTTAAATTCAATTTGAGCCTGTTTTTGGCCAACTTTTGCTTCTTTTTGATGTCATCTTCATCTCCCTGTGATTATTTTGCATGCCTTCTTTTGTTATTTTACTCGTTATGGTTTCTTTCTTGGTTGGACCGGGAGCTGCTTACCCTGCGACCTGTATGCCCCCTCCCGCTCAGCGTCTAATCAATATTTGTGTGTGAAGTGTGAAGGACCGGTTTTCCTTCATTGGGTCTGCCTCCTGCTCTGTGCCTGAGTGGCAGCAGTGGGCTCTGGCCGTGACGTTAATCCGTGACGCAGGTTCGCCCTCCATCACTAGCCGAGCCCACAGACAGAAAACACCACCTAGAAACCGAGCGAGAGCCCTCACGATCTTTGGAAATATGTAGTTACGCTACACATTTTAGCGCATTTCGACGACAAAGGAGTTTGGTGAGCTGGTGAGTCAAAATTTTTAATAAAAACAGTGCTGCTATAGTCACTTTGCTTCTGCAGTTTGGAAATGTTAGCTAGCTAACCGAGAAGCTAACATTAGCCTAGCAAAGATGTCGGTGATGGCGGACGGTGCCCGTTATTTCCAACTGCGGCGATGTTATCTAACAAGTAAAACCACGGTATTTACCTAGGTTTTATTAAACAATCATGTGAGTGAACCTAAATGATGACCCAGGTTTATACAGGCTCTTTACAGCGCCCGTTTATCTAAAAAGAAAAAGGTCGTGTTGGCAAATGGAAGGTGAAGCTGCTGAAGTGCGTTTTGTATTCGCCTGAAACCAAACAGTGAAAGTTGCCAGTAAAATGACCAACCCGGAATACACGAACAAGAAACGGACTTCATCCTTCATATTTAAACATTATTACTTCGCTGATTCAACATTTAACGGCCACTGTGAAATATTTGAATGTATTTGTATCAAGTGGTCGTTCTATATTTGAGAAACCTTGATGAGAATCTTTGCTAAAATCACTGCTAACTAGTATGCTAAAGGCAATGCTAATGTATTTTTTCCTCTCTCTGTCAGAGCAGCTACATGGACAGTTACAATGGGTGGTCATGATGATGAAGATATGACATATGTTGTGAATAAACAGAAGCAAGACGAAGAGCTAAAGAACAAACTGAATGACGGCAGCCACTGGTGCGACCAGGAGTCCACCGGCAACAATGCCAAGTGGGTCAAGGAAGGCCAAAACCAGCTGCGGAAAGTAGCGGAGAACCAGCAGGACCAAGACCACAACTGCAATATCAATCAGAATGGGAACAGGGAAGACTTCCCTCACCAGAACACCACTCAGGAAGATCAACAGGGTAACGAGGAGCAGACCAAGTCTCCCAAAATCGCAATGACCCCTGGTCTCAGTCAGGAGGAGTCAAAGAACATCCTTAATGAGCCGCTTCTCATTGACACCCTGGAGTCCACAGAAGAGAAAGATAAAGAGAGAGAAGAGGATGATAAAGAGAAGGAAAGTAAATTGGAAGACGATGAAGAAACATCAGGTGACACCAGAGGAGAGAAACTGGCAGAAGAAGAGAGTAATGTGGAGTCTCAGAGAGTGGGGAGGAACGCTTGCCTGCTTTTTTCCAACATGAACGGGACACCAAGTGATGAAGAGTCCAGCTGGCCTGTTCTGTCTCAGGACAACACAGCTGACAGCTCTCCAAATGGCAACAGAGGTAAAAACTAAACAAAACATACAAGGTGTTTAGACAACTTTATGTTGTAGCTTGTGCAGATATTAAAAAATCTGAAGAATACACTCTGTTTATTAGCATCATACTGCAGCTAACAAGAAAAGCCAAAACGGTCAAAATAGAAGCAACAGAGGATGATTTGGCTGCTAAACATATCAGTAAAAAAGATAGACTCCTGGAAATAGTGAATTATCATCTCTTTATTTAAATTACAGTTTGATTACCAGATGCTATACTTTATTACTTAAATAACTCATTATTTTTTAGTTATTATTAGTTTAAACCTTTCCTTTTTTCTTTTTTTCCCCTTTTAAATACTGCAATATTAGGGGGGTGTTTTTTCTCAGGGGCAAAATTTAAAAAGCAGAACAGCTATTACATCTTCACCAATGCTTCCAAAGGCTGGTTGTGTTGACCAAATCAAAAAAAGTAAAATGTTTTTTTACTTTGTTAATTAGATAATTAATATGCATTTCCATGCATTTAGTTGAGATGAAGTTACCTATAGTAACCTTGGTCTCTTACTTCCCGCCCTTCAGAGTCTTTCTGGGATTCCAGTGCTTTTGAGACGGACACAGACCTGCCCTCGGGATGGATGAGGGTGCGAGATACATCGGGCACGTACTACTGGCACATTCCCACAGGCACCACTCAGTGGGAGCCTCCTTCACCCCTGGGTAAAGTTGGGGACTCCATGATGTCCTCCACGATGTCCCTGGAGACTACGCCCTGCGAGGAACCTGAGGTGAGGTCTAACCAGCATCCTAATTTGACAGAGGCACTGACAAGTCAAACTGTTGTTAACGGTAAGTCTTGTCACATTTTTCCAGGAATCTTGGGCCCAACTGTCCAGCACTGATGAAGGTGCTGGTGAAGGGGAACTGTGGAAGGTAAATCATGACTAGAGTTTTATTCAACTCACCTCTTTGAAATGTCTTTTGAGTATATTTAGTAGGGTTGTGCGTAACGAGTCCTAGAAGATTAAATGTTGCTGTCATCGCTTAGTTAGACAAATTTTTCAGTTTATCAATCTATAAAGTGGAAGGTAAGACAGATGTTCTACAGTACTTTGATCTAGAACAAGGATAGTTGTATGTAATACTCAAATAAATCAATGCTTAACTGCATTCGCTAGGTGGGATGCTTACATCCCTGAAGAATGAAAGCTGTTGGTTAGCACATTTAATGTTATTCAGAATCTGCTAACAAATCTAGGTAGTTCCTAGATTCAAGATAGTTTATTGTAATTTTGGATGGTATTTGCAGAAATACACAGGCTGAAATGTTGTTTCTCACCAGCCTCTACAGTGCAATAATCAATAAAAAAAAAATAACAACACAGTATCTAACAATCAAGCAGCAGGTTGCCAAGACACTTGGTAAACTCAGGTGTAAACAATCACATTAGGTAGCAGCAGGCCTCTCACAGAGAGGGTGTGCAGTGTTATGCCACACATTTCAGACATTTAAAATAAGATCTGACTATTAAAGAATATGATTCATGGATTAAAAACACCCTAAATACAAACAGTTTTTTTTGATGGAGACTATTTACCCTAATTCATTAGAATGAATTAGAACTTGATTTTTTTTTCTGAACTTTAAGACTAGCTCGCTAGTTAAAGTTTTTGCATTCTCCCATTTAAGACTAGTAAGTTAGTCACCAGGAACAACCCTAAGCCTTATAGTATTTTGGACAATATGACAGAATTTACATACCTTTCATGCACATGTGCTCTGTGATC